CTCACTTGTGTTCTCTCTCATTCTGTCAAAAAAAACCAAAAAACAAAAACTAAAACATTCCTGAGAAATTAAAAAAGATGAAATAAATGGAAAGACATACCATGCTTATGGATCAAAAGACTAAATGTTATTAGAGCTCAAGTTGCCCCAAATTGACCTAAGATTCATTGCATTCCCTTCTAGACTCAGCAGGATTTTGTAGAACTTGCCAAACTGACTTGAAAATTTGTATGGAAATGCAAGGGATGTGGGATAGCCAAACAACTTTGAAAAAGAACTAAGAAGACTTAAACACTATCTGGTTTTAAGATTTAATTGTAAATTTATGGGGCACCTGGGTGGCTGAGTCGGTTAAGTGTCCAACTCCTGATCTCAGCTCAGGTCTTGATCTCAGGGTCATGAGTTCAAGCCCCATGTTGGGCTCCATGCTGGGTATGGTGCCTACTCAAAAAAAAAAAAATTATTTAACTATAAATTTACAGTAACTAGGGTAGTATAGTATTGGTATAAGATGAGACAGATCCATGGTACAGAATAGAAAGTACACAAGTAGATTACCACATTTTTTTGGTCAATTGGTTTCCACAAAGCTACTCAGATAATTCAATATGAAAAGGGAAGTCTCTCACTTCTAGTGGGCTTTTACACCAAAAACTGCCCGAATTTTCTCCCTCTAGTCCCCTTCGGTGTATCAGAGAAAAACCAAAATAGTATAGATTCTTCTTATCAACTAGAGAAGGAAACAAATAAATGCTGTTTATCTTTTGTGGACCTGTTCAACTGACCTGGATATAGAATAACAGGATTGTAACATTACTTAATCTGGGAAAGCAATAATGAAGAAATCTAAAGCAGAGAAAATTTAGCTCTAGTAGTTGGGAAAAATGCCCCCAAAACCCCACAATTTCAATAAATTCATATTTTTTTGTTTCCCAAACCTAATAAGTAATAAGTGGCTTTAAAAGAAGGATGTTATATTTACTGTTGTTAATATATGCAAGGCATTGTGCTAAGGAGCTTTATATAAGATTACATACACACACACATATGCACATATACACACACATCATATATGTAATTCCTCACAATAATCCTATGAGATACAGTACTCAAGCTCATGTCACAGACCATGAAACTGAAACTTAGAGAATTATGGAACTTGTTCAAAGTCACATAGTGGTAAAGTCAATATTTGAACACTGACTACAGAATATTCTTTTAACAATTAGGCTGTACGTGTTACAGATAAGAGCTAAAGGACTTTAATGGGAGCGCCCCAAAGTTAGCTAGACTAGTTGGAGAAGACCACATGATAGATGAGGCTTGAATAAGCCCTAAAGTATAAATAATATTTATTTAAGCAAAGGGGAGATCAGAGTTAAATAAGAGCAGGGAAATAGAATAAGTGATGTCTTAAAGTTGAGACATCATATGTTCAGGAAATTGTAAGGATATAACAAATTTGAGATTAGTGGAACATGAATTGAAAAAGCCAGATGGTCTTCAATGCCAGTTTAGAGAGTTGGTACTTTATTCTATAGGTATGAGAGAGCTAACATCAGTTTTACTTTTTTAAGATTTTATTTACTAGAGCACAAGCAGGGGGGAGCGGCAGGCAGAGGGAGAGGGAGAAGCAGGCTCCCTGCCGAGCAAGGAGCCCAATGCAGGACTCGATCCCAGGACCCTGGGATCATGACCTGAGCCGAAGGCAGACACCTAACCAACTGAGCCACCCAGGCACCCTAACATCAGTTTTGAACAGGGGATAAGATGGATGACATTGGTATTTAAGAATATTTCCTTCATGGGCATTGTGTAAAATGCATTCAGAGAGAGGGTAATTTGGGAGTTAAGGTGGTCTGGGCAGGAATGAAGAAAAGCTGAACAAAATAGGGTGGGTTGCAATGGATATATGAAATACTTTGAAGTGGGTTTTGTTGACTAAATGGGAATGAGAGAAAGGAAGCCAGTATTATTTGAATTTCAAACCTTTACTAGAAATAGGGAGTTGTGGGGTGCCTGGGTGGCTTAGTCGGTTAAGCATCCAACTCTTGATCTCAGCTCAGGTCTTGATCTCAGGGTTGTGAGTTCAAGCCCTGTGCTGGGATCCAGCACAGGGCGTGGAGCCTACTTAAAAAAAAAAAAAAGAAATAGGGAGTTGTTTGGGAAAGAGAATATTTGAGAAAGAACATAATAAAGATTGATTTTCATTATGTTTAGAAAGTATAGTGAACTATAGTTTGAAACTATAATGAAAAATTCAAGAAGAGGTATTCTGTGGGGAGGTAGAGATAAGGGATTAGAGTTTAAGAGTTTGAGAATAGAGATTAAGATTTGTATGTACTCAGCATAAGCAAACTGAAACGTAAGCCAGTACCAGTTCACCAAGAGAAAAAAGCATATATGCAGATCAGAGAATGTTGCTCAGTATCTGCTAGAGTGTTAGAGGAAGAAGGTAAGCCAGCAAAGGAGAGAAGCGGCAGTCATCCAGAGCTGGGAAATACTTCTCTGTGCTCGTCTTCCTCTTCTGTGTATGGGAATCCTCTGTACCTCTCCACAGTAATTTGAGTGTATTTTTCTTGCCTTGTTCATACCTCATTACTGTCTCTTTAAACCAAAATGTCTAGATTTTCTATATACTTACCTCCCTTGCTTTATAATCATTTTTTAGGCCTTTTCAAAACTGACTAGTTCTAAATTGGATAGTAAGATATTTTCAAGGCCCTGAGTCCAAAGCTATATCTAATTTCAGTAGCTTGTCAGGAGGATAAAACTAGGGGCGCTTGGGTGGCTCAGTCGTTAAGCGTCTGCCTTCGGCTCCGGTCATGATCCCAGGGTCCTGGGATCGAGCCCCACATTGGGCTCCCTGCTCCGCGGGAAGCCTGTTTCTCCCTCTCCCACTCCCCCTGATTGTGTTCCCTTTCTCGCTGTGTCTCTCTCTGTCAAATAAATAAATAAAATCTTAAAAAAAAAAAAAAAAAAGAAAGCAACGGGGCACCTGGGTGGCTCAGTCGTTAAGTGTCTGCCTTCGGCTCAGGTCATGATCCCAGGGTCCTGGGATCCAGCCCTGCATCGGGCTCTCTGCTCGGCGGGAAGCCTGCTCTTCCCTCTCCCACTCCCCCGCCTGTGTTCCCTCTCTCACTCTGTCAAATAAATAAAATCTTAAAAACAGAAAAAGAATAAAACTAGTGTCTCACCAGAATTTTAGCTACTCACCAGGAGACTCAGTCTCTAAAAATATATAAATACATTTATTTTGAAGCGTGAGTTAATTCTGAATATTTTCTAATTGAATAACAGAATTCTTGTGGGTGGGGGGAGTACAAGGGAAAGTTGGAGGAAGAAAGTTCCAGAAAGCCAGAGAGAGAAAACAGATGTACTTTAAAATCATTGATCATGAAAGACAATATTAATATAAAATATTTGTTGCATATTATAAGTTTCAGCCTATGCTGAAGCTAAGGCTGCTAGAATTGATAGGAAGGAGAAATGGATCTCTTTTGAGTACCCAGAAGTCTAAGCGACTGCCATTCTTTTGTGTCTGAAAACGTACATATCGGGGCACCTGGATGGCTCAGTTGGTTGTGTCTGACTTTGTGATCTTGGGGTCCTGGGATCGAGCCCCACATCTGGCTCCATGCTCAGTGGGGAGACTGCTTCTTCCTCTGCGTCTCCCTCTCCCCACTCATGCTCTCTCTGTCTCTCTCTCTTAAATAAAAAGAAAAAAAAAGAAAACGTACATATCTAAAGTACTGTGAAAAGGAAGCATTTCTGTATTAGATAACACAAAATCCTGACTTTAAAAAAATGTCTAAATACAACCTTTCAATTTTTTCAGAGGAGACGCGAAAACGAGGCTTATTTCAATGGCTTGAGTCTCTTCAGATTGATAACACCACCTCTCCAGACCTGCAGCTCACTGTTGGAGCCGTGATTGTGGAGGAAATGAGAGCAGCCATAGAGAAGGAGACGGGTTTTCAGTGTTCAGCTGGAATTTCACACAATAAGGTGAACATGTACTTTCCTAAGAAGCAATCTGAAAAATCTGCAGAAAATGCTTATCTATATAGTTGTATCCAAAATATTTCCTTAATGACTGAACTATCTATAGAAAGGAGGTTAATGTTAATCTTTGAATTTTATATACAAATCTATTTCTTTTCACTTGCTGAATATCCTAGTATTATCTCACTACCTTTGTGGTATTGCCTGAGTATTTTAGGCTTTTGCCTATTCCCTCTTTTCTAATGAGGAATAAGAAAGATGGAATAATAAAATTTTATTAATTTGGACCACTATTTTGATTTAGGGAATACAGACAATTGTCAATAATCCAGGGGCAGAATAACTGGTTTTCTTATTAAAGTACAGTCAGGGTCTGGGATCTTCGTCCCCTTCTGACTAGGCTCAATAATTGGGCAGTGGCTGATTATTCCTGGTTACTGCCTTTTCCCCCTTTCTCCAATTGCCAAACTATCCCACAGAGTTTTAGAATATTTTTCTGATTGGGTGAAGGGAGGGGAAACCAAAGTCCCACTGTAGTAATTTAAATGAGACTAAATATTGCCTAGTAGAAGTTCCAGAGAATTTCTCCAGTGTATTTAAAGGATGATTTTATACTTTTCCTACCAATTATAATTTGTGAAATGATACCACTGAAGCACCTTATTCTTTCAAAAGAGTTCTCAAGGGCGCCTGGGTGGCTCAGTTGGTTAAGCGACTGCCTTTGGCTCAGGTCATGATCCTGGAGTCCCGGGATCGAGTCCCGCATCGGGCTCCCTGCTCAGCAGTGAGTCTGCTTCTCCCTCGGACCCTCCCCCGTCTCATGCTCTCTATCTCATTCTCTCTCTCAAATAAATAAAATCTTTAAAAAAAAAAAAAAGAATTCTCAAGGATTTAAGTTTTGTTTTTTTTTTTAATTTTGAAGTCTTGTTTCTAGCATAAGATGTTTGCTATTGTAGGGTGGTTTTGAGTCCAATCTCGTATCACAGAAACTTAAATTATGGTAAACTGTGTTAAATCCAGGACTCAGAATGGACTAACCATTAATCAAGAAATATAAATAATAAATGGAGTAGGGTAAAACAGGTTGGTTTCAGCATTTCTATATGGACACGCTAAGAAATGCATCTTACAGAAGTTTCTTCTGCAGCTTCTCTGGGCTTTTTACCCTCTTGAAGTGGGAGAACCTTAAGGAATAGATGGGGATGGAAAAAATGACTAAAGGAAAACTGAGAATAGAAGATGCGGAAAGAATAATGAGGATGCTGATAGTGGGTCATAGTTTCCACTGAGGATGTTGTGGGATACCAAGGTTTAGAGATGTCTCGAGTTTCTGGTTTTGTTTTTGGTTTTAATGTGGAAACCATTAGTTACAGCCCTTAAGCTGTGCCTGTGTTTGTGTGTGTGTGTTAATATTCACCAACTCTCTGTGGGGGTGAGGTTGTCAGTAATGAAGTTTTTATGCTTTCCATGCTCCAGGTCCTGGCAAAACTGGCCTGTGGACTAAACAAGCCCAACCACCAGACCCTGGTCTCACATGGGTCAGTCCCACAGCTCTTCAGCCAAATGCCTATTAGCAAAATGTAAGTATTCAGGGAGTACCTTCAATTTCACTCATATACTTTGTGAGGGCACTCTCTGGTTTTTTCTGTTCCTTATGAAAGACTAGAGCCAGGAAAAGTAGGTAGCCAGGAAAGTAGAAGGGAGATAACACAGGAGATTTTGAGAAACACAGAGACTTTTTTTCCTAATGAACCTTCAATTCTGGATTATCTGTGGAAGTTACTTAATCCTGAATTTTAAAAATGAACTGGTTTTTAGCTGTATATTTAATTTCCCTCTAGCCTTTTTATTCATGTCTGTTACTAAATAACAAAACAAATAGAAATTTTACTTCCTATTTTTCTTCTAATATGATATCAAGGTGTTCAGGGCTGCTGAACTGCTCCCAAACTAGGTATGAGAGAAAAAGCCAAATAAAATGAATAACTAGGCTATGCATACCAATGTGGGTCCTTGGCAAGGGTATATAATATTGTGGAAGGGACAAGATGTTAACAGTTGAAAGCAACAGTGAAAGTGCTATCAAGACTGTACATGAGTGAGGTGCCTGGGTGGCTCAGTTAGTTAAGCATCTGCCTCCGGCTCAGGTCATGATTCCAGCCCCACATCTAGCCCACATGGGGCTCCCTGCTCAGCTGGGACGGGGGGCTGCTTCTCCCTCTCCCTCTGCCAGTCCTCCCCTCCCCCGGCTTGTACTCTCTGGCTCTCTCTATTAGTGTCAAATAAATAAATAAAATCTTAAAAAAAAAAAAAGACTGTACATGAGTAGTTGCTAAATGAGTTGTATGGGTAGTTACCAGAGTCCATAGAAGAGAAATCTGAGGATTTATGAAAAAGACATGAGATTTTGTTTTGTCAGATGAGAATTGATGAGCAATTCTGATTTCAATAATGTTTTGAACACAAAGAGGGGAAAAGTATAAGGTATTTTCAGTGAGCTGGGACATAAACTAGTTTAACTGGACCAAAATGAAGAAGATATGTGCTAGAAATAGGACTGAAAAGGTAGGTTGAGGACAGATTATAGGAAGCCTCAAAGGCCAAGCTTATTATTATATTCTTTTTTTTTTTTTAAGATTTTATTTGACAGAGAAAGAGAGAGCACAAGCAGGGGGAGCGGCAGGCAGAGGGAGAAGCAGGCCTCCCCACTGAGCAGAGAGCCCAACTCCGGGCTCGATCCCAGGACCCTGGGATCAGGACCTGAGCCAAAGGCAGACGCTTAACTGGCTCAATCACCCAGGTGCCCCTGGGGTTAGAATTTTAATCCCTCAGTGGGACAGTAGATCCTGTACAATTGAAAGTTTTATATACAGTTGACTTGAAAGCTAATCAATGACTTTATATATATTTTTTAAAGATTTTATTTATTTATTTGACAGAGAGAGACACAGTGAGAGAGGGAACACAGCAGGGGGAGTGGGAGAGGGAGAAGCAGGCTTCCTGTGGAGCAGGGAGACTGATGCGGGGCTCGATCCCAGGACCCTGGGATCATGACCTGAGCCGAAGGCAGACGCTTAACGACTGAGCCTAGGTTGATTGATTAGGTGCCCCTAATCAATGACTTTAACCTTTTGTTTATGCTATTGTTAATCTTCCCAGGTCCTAACTCCCAGAGTATTTGAATTTCCAGAATCATTCAGTCTTATACTAGAAAATTAATAGTTTACAGGACTGACCAATATGTGCTCTGATTTTCCCCGAATCCTCTGGAGAGCTATTTACACAAGCAAAATTTCTTATGTCTGCTGCTAACCAGGTATTTATGATGTGACCTATAAATTCTTTATCTCTTTTGTTAGCCGTAATCTTGGAGGAAAGCTAGGTGCCTCTGTCATTGAAATCCTGGGGGTGGAATACATGGGTGAACTGACTCAGTTCACGGAATCCCAGCTCCAGAGTCATTTTGGGCAGAAGAATGGGTAAGTGATTCCTAATACTTTTCAATCATAACCTTTATGGAGATGCAAAATTCAAATATGGACAAAAGCATCCAGTAAAATTTAGACCTATCTTTAAGTTAACATTTGTTCCTCGAGGTAATATCATTGGTCCTTTTGCTTTAAAATATTAAATCACTGTGGCCTGTCAGTCTGCAGTAGTTTTTCATTTACCTAAATAGGTTGATAGGCTTGGGTATATACATCATTTTTGTGTGCTAAAATGCTGATAATTCCCTTAAAATCTTTGTAAGTAAGTACCAAAAAACTTGGGGATATGAATCAGTGGTTTGCTCGGCACTTTTCCAAAAATACAAATGATGACTTGACTTTAAAAAAGCATAACCAAGTGTTCCTCTCCTTGGCAATATATTGCACTAGAATTCTTTGGGAAGGGCAAGGATTCTGTCAGAGGTGAAGTATACTTAATTTTGGACATATTTTTCCTTTTCCATGAAGGAGATAAAAGGGTAGCGCAATGTAGGTATTTTATTTTAACAAAAATAAGCATTTTCTTTCACCTTAAAGTTTTTTTGCTGCTTTTATTAGATCTTGGCTATATGCCATGTGCCGTGGGATTGAACATGAACCAGTTAAACCCAGGAGACTACCTAAATCCATTGGCTGCGGCAAGAACTTCCCAGGAAAGACAGCCCTGGCTACTCGCGAACAGGTAGGCAGGCATTCTTGACGAGAACATTGCCTTTTTTACCGGGATTAGTGGGTAGGTTTTGGTAACTGCAGAAAGTTTAATAATTTAGATGGGACCTTTCGGTTGTAAAGTATGAAGGTCTTTTTTTGTGTGTGTTGAAAATGGAGCTTGATTTATTATTTTTTCCACCCAAAAAGAAATAAAATGGAACTAACTGAAGTTCGAAATGGAATTACTCAGTTTTTGAGTAGTGGTAACTTGGAAGGCCTGGGATATTATGCCCCAAGTTTGTATGTATTCTTTTTTCTCAGAGCTGAAACATGCCTGAAGTTCACCTGATGGCATGCCAGCTGGAAAAGAAAATGAAAATCTTGAGCTAGGGCAGGTCAGAAAATTTCTATGATCTGGTGATCCCTTGGTTATGGGGGAGATTTTATTGTACACTAATATTTGTGGGAGAACTGAACAAATCCTCCATCTAGTACTATAACAAACCTAGAATTTTTAAATGAAAGATTAAAGTCTCAACACTTTTTTAGGTACAATGGTGGCTTTTGCAATTAGCCCATGAACTAGAGGAGAGACTAACCAAGGACCGAGATGATGTAAGATTTTCTTTCTTTATTCTTGGGGTGAGCTTTGGGATTTAATTACCAGTTGTTAATTACCTGGGGGAGAAGTAGAGACAAAGATACAAAAAGATGCCAGACTAGGACATTTTTTTTTTTAATATATATATTTTTAAATTTGACAGAGAGAGATACAGCGAGAGAGGGAACACAAGCAGGGGGAGTGGGAGAGGGAGAAGCAGGCTTCCTGCCGAGCAGGGAGCCCGAT